TGGCACAAATCCTCCTTGGATGACAAAGGGCCCAACTCGGAAATGTGTCTAGCCGAAGTGACGGCGACAAGGAAAATCACCTTCAGGTTCAGGAACCTAAGTTGTACTGTCCTCAACGGCTCAAATGGGGCACCTGTAAGGGCTCTAAGAACTAGGGAGAGATCCCACGTGGGGAACCTGTGTACCAGGGGACGGCACAGGTTTGCCACACCCTTGAGGAAACGTTTCACCAACAGTGACTGAGTTAATGACCAATGACCCTCCCCTGCTAAGACCGAAAATAGGGCAGCTGTCTGCCTCCGTAAGGTGTTATGGGAGAGGCCACGGTCTAGACCGTGTTGTAGGAATTCAAGGACCTGGGCGACTGAGGCAGAAGCCAGGGATATTTGGAACCTACCACACCAGGACACAAACGTTGACCACGTCGAATTATAAATTCGAGTGGTAAAAGGACGCCTGGCAGCCTCGATAGTGGAGATAACCTTGGCAGACAGGCTAGCGTCCCTCAGAAAGCGCCGTTCAAGTGCCAGGCGGTCAGCTGGAGCCACTGGAGCGCTGGGTGAATCAGGACCCCCTGGCACAGGGCGACTTCCTCCTGGGGAATATTCCAGGATGGAGAGATGGATAGTTGGACACGGTCCGTGAACCAAGGACGCCTCGGCCAAAACGGGGCCACCAGGATGATATGGGCTCCTTCCAACACTATTTTCCTCAGGGTTCCCTGGATGAGAAGGGGAGGAAAGGCATAAAGAAGACCGGGGGGCCACGGGCTCCTGAGAGCATCCGTGCCTTCCGCATTGCGTGCAGGAAAGCGGGAAAAGAATCGGGGAACTTGAGCATTGCTGGGGCTGGTGAACAAGTCCACCAGTGGATCGCCGAAATGGAGGCAGATCCTGTGAAATATCTCTGGAGCCAGCTGCCACTCACCGTGATCCACTGTTTCTGGCTCAACCAGTTGGCTTGGTGATTGGCAATGCCCGAGATGTGTTCTGATAGGATGAATGCCAAGTTCTTTTCGCCCAAAGCCCGAGCTTCGGAGCCTCTTGCAACAGGCTTTTGGAATGAGTCCCCCCTTGACGATTTATGTGAGCTTTTGCTGCAACATTGTCCATCAGGAGGAGGACATGTCGATTGGCTATTGAGTCTCGAAAGTGAAGAAGGGCTAGGCGGGCCGCCTTCAGCTCCAGCCAATTGATGTTGTGGCGTAGGTCGGACTTTGACCATTGTCCCTGCGCCAGGCTGGTCTCCATCACCATTCCCCAGCTGAAGAGGCTGGCATTCGTCGTGATGGAGATGAGGTCCGGTTCCCAGAGTTCGGCCCCACGGTTCAATGACAGGGACAACTGCCACTTCAGGGACTAGCAGAAGTCCAGTGATAGACGAATGGAACGGGGAGTTGCTCACCCGCTGTCGTTGGAATGGAATGAGCGTCCACTGAAGTGTTCTGGAGTTTAGGCGGGCCCATGGGCCAATCCCTATGCACGACACCATCTTGCCCAGTAATCGCGGCAAGGTCAGGATGAAAGCTGACCGACTTGCGTGTATGTGCCGTGCCAAGGTTTGCAGACTTGTCAGACGTTCTGGTGAAAGACGAACTAGTCCTGTTCTGGAGTCTATCATTGTGCCTAAGTGTAGGATTTTTGTCAACGGAGAGAGATGGCTCTTGGGGAAGTTGATGGAAAACCCCAAGGACTGTAGTGTCCGGATGGTGATCTGCATATCCATATTCACCTGCGTTCGGAAGTGGGCTAGAACGAGCACGGCGTCAAGGTAACAATGGAGTCTCACCGGCCGGGTGCGCAGGTGAGCCGCCATCGCCGGCAGGACTTTCGTGAACGTGCGGGGAGCAGAGGCCAGGCCAAATGGGAGTGCCCTGTATTGAAAATGACGATCCCCTGGGAAAAACGGAGGAACTTGCGGTGTAAGTATGCCTTGGTTAAGTCTATTGACGTCATGAAGTCTCCCCGTCTGATCCCCAGTAATATGGATTTGAGAGAGGACATCTTGAAGCGTCGGTAGACCAGGAATGAATTCAGATGCTTCAAGTCTAGGATCGCTCTCCATCCCCCGGAGCTCTTCAGGACGACAAAGAGGTTTGAGTACACGCCCATACTCCTTCGGAGGAACTAGCTCAACCGCCTAAATGTCCAGCAGATGCTGGATTGCCAGGAGCATTAGGCAGTGCCTTTCTGGGTCCCTGGAAGAGGGGGAAAGTCCTGAAGAGCGTCAGGGGAGGGGAGAGGAACTCCAGACGGAGACCCTCCCTGACCGTTGACCTGACCCAGGCATCTGATGTTATCTGATCCCACTAGTCCGCGAAGGATGCCATGTGGCCGCCTATGGGTTGACTCGGGTTGGAGTCATTTCCCCCTGCGGAAGGAACAGCCGCCCCCTCCGCGAAAGGGCTGTTTGGATTGACCTTGAAATCTATTCCTATCCTGGTAGAACGGCCACTTTATCATACCTGTAGGGGGGCGTACCGCTGTTGGCGGTAGTCCTGGTCAGGCAGCCTGAAGGATGAAGGCCTACGGTATGAAGACGGATGGTTGTCCGGCTTCTTAGAATTTGAAGGTAGGACCTTCTTTTTATCCTTGTTCTCCACAAGGATGGGATCAAGGGAAGCTCCAAAAAGGGTAGGGCTTGAGAAGGGGGCCGCCATTAGGTTCCATTTGGATTTGTTGTCCATTTGCCAATTACGGAGCCACAGGAGTCTCCTCACAGTCACAGAGGTGGATAGAACTCTGGACGCAAATTTAATGGAATCCAGTGTGGTGTCCGCCGAGAACTAGGTAGCTGAAATGATCTTAGTGAGGTCTTGGTGAAGATGCTCATCTTGGATTGAGATGCGGTCCTGTAGTTGCCGGAGCCACAAGGCCATTGTGTGGTTGAAATAGGATGCTGCTATGGCCGCCTTAATGGCCCAGGCAGAAGCGTTGAAGTTCTTACGAAGGGTAAGCTCCACACGCTTGTCCTCTGGCTTCAGCATATCGGCCACGTCACCCGAGACTACTGTGGATGCGTTAACTAAAAGAGCGACTGGGGCATCTACCATGGGAAGCTGCAGAGCCTGAGAGAAGGCCTGCTCCATATTGTAATAATGCTTATCATTGCTTCCAGGATTGGGCAAGGAGGAAGGCCTCGCCCACTGATTCTGTACCACTTCCAGGAAAAGGGGAGGGCCTGGGACGTGTTGGGATTTATAAACATGGCCAAGTTGGGATCCCTGTGCTGGGAGACTGGCAAAGCCCCTGTGCCAATCTGAGTAGTTTCTTTGGCCTTGTGTAACATAGGCTTGAAAGTGGTGGGAGGAAAAAGCCCCGGAAACCACAATACCCAATATATTTTACATCTTTATCTTGGATCAGATTAGCTTACATAATGGTACATTACATATAGTGGGAATTCCGTATAAAATTAATAAATGGCCAAAGAGAAAATCTGATTATACATTGTAACAGGAATCATATTTGAGAATACATTAATTTGAGAAATGCTGATTGTAATAAGGAAAGTTTTATAAGATTAAATTAAGTGTTCAGTTATCACTAGGAATGCTTACTGTGAAATTGACAGTTGACACTAGGATTGTAATGGGATACAACAATGTGATGGCTTGAGAACTAACCCCTCCCCCAAATACTTATTACAGTTTCCCTACAATTCCTGGGTAGATCTAATTAAGTGTACTGTCACCAGCCATTCTTCTTCAGGAAAAGCCCTGTCTGCCACTGGTTTAACCTACATGAGGTAAGCTCCTTCTTCCAAGCGATTGACCTGAATGTAAGGAATATGTAAAGGCACATTCTCCCCAGAATACACATATTGGTTTATTAAGAGTTCTAAGTCTTTATTTTATATAGCAGAACTAGAAAAAAGTTGAAAACGAAAAGGAAAGGGCAAATAAATGAATTTTTGTTTTCAATGATCAACTGCTTCCTATATTCAGGATCTTACAAGTCTTCAAACTAAATTCACACCACGTATCTTAGGTCCTAAAATAAAACAGAACCTATACAGCAACTAGCATTATTGATCCTAGCTTGCTGATCAAATTCGCTAGATTCCACCACGGTTGTTTTTGCCCATACCTAGCTTGTAGCCAAACTCAGTCAGAAAAGTACCAAGATACCAAAACAAAAATTCAGACACTCTACCCTCCTGTAAAAGCACACTTGATTGGAGAAACCTATCCTTCTGATTGCCTCCTTAGAATTTTCTCAGTCTTCTGTTTTCTCTATTGGCGGCTTTCCTTCAATTATTTCAGTATCCAAACCTCTTAAAACAGAAAGCATTCATAATCTCTGTGATGAACAATTGCAAATGTACTTGTTCAATAAAGTTGTGGAGCAGAAACAGATTTTTACCTGATGGTTTTAATATAAACAACAAAGAATATTCTTCTATAGCAGATCTTTAAATTGTTCAGTTAACTTATTTTCAAAAGAAAACCTACGAAGTCAAAGACCAAACTATTTTGCCCATCATACAGCTATAAAACAAAACAAAACCTCTGGTCCTAGTGATTAACCCAGATTGGATCCTGCAGCTATAAAACACTAAAAAAATACTGGTTTAATAGAAGAAAAGCAAAGGGAAGCAAAATCTAGAGAAATACTGAAGAAAAAGCTCAGCAATGACCAATAGAAACAGTTAATAAACACAATTCCCAATGCAGCCATTGGAGTACATGGCACTATTCATGCTGAAATACATGCAATACAGGATAAGGTCCCTACAAAAAAAAATCAGCATTAGAATGTTCTGAAATGCTCTGCACAGCCACAAAACTTTGGATGCAATACCGAAACCGCAGAAATATTTTTGTTAAGCATTTAAGAAAAGTTTTAAGACCAATTTCCTTTAAATTTGTAACTATGCACATAATAGGGAGCTGGAAAGTTCAGAAATGTGAAAATAAGTGCCATTTATGCATTTCACAATCAAAATGACAATTTAACTATAACTTTGTCTGAGCAATTGATCTAAGGTTTAATCATTACCTTGGCAGACTGTGGCGTAGAGAAGTTAAGCCAGGCAGGAACAAAGTCATGCTGCGCCATTTAGGTCCAGTGTCTCTCTTCAATAAAGTGAGGCATCAAACCTCATGGCCAGGAGCTAAGACGAGAGAACCACCACACACACAGTCAGCCCTACTAAAAGCAATAGAAAAGAGCAGATTCTTCTGAGCATGCTTCGAAGAGTCTGGAAAACATCTCACCATCTTTCTAGGGCAGTGGTTCTCAACCTGTGGGTTGGGACCCCTTTGGGGGTCGAACAACCCTTTCACAGGGGTCGCCTGAGACCATTGGAAAATACATATTTTTGAAAAAATACGGAAAACATACAATAATTTTATGGTTGGGGGGGTCACCACAACATGAGGAACTGTACTAAAGGGTTGCGGCATAGGAAGGTTGAGACCCACTGTTCTAGGGACTAATGAAAATTTATTTAATTTGACTAAGCATCAGGTTGAGTTACTGTAGTTATATTGCTGTTTAATTTAACTCCCTTAAGCCACTTCAGTCAAGATCATCAGAAGCCAGGTTCTACCATCATCACTACTGGAGCTAAATAAAACTGAGGAGGAATTAGTGTACATTTCCTCTCCAAAATAGCATTTTACTAGCAGGGTTTTTTATTCAAATTATTTTGATGTCTGCTTATCTAGAAATAGTTTACTAATTTACTTATAATAGACAAATTAAAAACTTTTCTTCATATAATTATTAAACATAATGTATTATTTTTAACTATAGAGTCCTAGAGTGACTTACCCAGTTTGGCCTTTGCAGTCCACTCTCACTTTAATACTTTGATTTCCAGGTTCCTTTCTTCGCCAGGGTGCACCTATGCCAGCTGTGTGGCAATGGTGAGTCCCAAAGGAAGCACGAGAAGCCGCACTTCGTGCTGACTGCACCCCTTAACCCTCTAGCTGCTCATCTTAAATGCTCTCTGAACTCATATGAGAAAAAAAAAACAACCCTAAAATGCACTGTGCATTTTTGGAAAGCTACAACTACATTCACCTCATTAAACTGTTCCCTGTTGTCACAATGCTGTGTAATTCAGTTATTACATTACAAAAGTAGTTGTCAAATTTGTACAGCATTCAGAAAAGCACCGTAATTAAAGGTGAATTTCACAAATCCACTTTGTTCATCTTCTGTAACAAATGAATTTGAAACAAAGGGACAGGGGGAAAGGATGCTGAGGAGTCCTGCAAATTCTGGTAAACCTTTGTTCTTATTAAGTGCTAAAATGCAGGATTCATTTTTAATGGTTGCTAAAAAATTAGCTTTCTTAAAAACAGTATTTTGAAAGGCTTTTCACATAATGTCACTTAAGTTTCCTTGGTAAGGAACTAAAAGCAACTTGAAGATATAAGATTGAATTATTACTGTCTTCCTACCATTTCTAGTTATGCATTAAATTAAAGCTAAAAGTAAAAGGCTAAGCTAGCAAGCTATCCTTCTGCTGTATTTGAATTGTTTTTAAAAACAGAGGAAAAAATGGCTGTATTTTAATGAAGAGTTCACATTTGGGCAATGGTCGTCTTCCTTCAAAATGAGTAGAATTCACGAAGTACTCTGCAAAGAAGGAAAAAATAATACCACCTATCAGTAATCATAAAAGTGGCCAAAAGTAGTATCAAAGACACATTACTTAGGACCCCTATTTCTAATGAAATAACATGCTAACAAGTGTAGTATTTATAGTCAGTGCCAGGTTGCCATTCTCATTTGGTAAATAAAAGGAGAGTCCTCACATAGTTATTGAGGAATGATATCTGCAGTTTACTGTAACATAGATTTTCAGTTATGCATACACCATAATTTACAATATAATAAATGTGGTTCAAACTACATACCTTTTTGAAGCAGAAAGAACTAGAAAATAGAACTGGGAATGGTCAAACAGCAATTGATTCCAAGTTAACACATTATTGGAATGGAGCCCTTCTTACTGAATTTTAATGAAATGTTTATCAGTCTATGTTTACATTTCTTAGGAGCAAACATTAGCCATTCCCGATCAAACAAACTTATTATATTACTTTCCTGCTTTGATTATTATGCTTAGATACAGTAAATGTCTATAGAGATAGAACGTTGGTCTTACCTGAACGTGTCTTTTAAGAGGAAGGGAGGGAGTGGTCACAACCCGCCCTGGTGATTTTTCCTTTGGGGCCAAGGGGAGGGCCCAGGTGGTTCCCGGGGGGTGTGGGTTGTTGTTGTTGGTTTTTTTGTTTTTTCAGTTCTACCGTTCGCCTTCGAGGAAACTGGGTTAGGACTGGAAGGCACCAGTATTTAAGTGTTTCGACCAATCAGGCTTTGAGAATACCCACATGTGACCACTCCCTCCCTTCCTCTTAAAAGACACGTTCAGGTAAGACCAACGTTCTTTTTCCAGAGGAAGGGAGGGAGTGGTCACATGTGGGACATAGCCAAGTTACAGTCCCAAGGAGGGAAAACAGGGAACCACTAAGGTCCAAGGGGAGCATCAACCGCCACCCACTGCAAGACCCTCCGACCAAATGACGCGTCCCGCCAAAGCGAAGGCATCCAGACGATAATATCAGATGAAAGGCGTCGGAGAAGCCCAAGTGGCTGCATGACAAACGTCTTCAGACGGGGCCCTCGTGGCCCACACCGCCATGGTCATGGCACTCCTAGTAGAACGGGCCGTCATGCCCAACAGGCCCGGACAACCAGCTGCTCTGTAGGCCCTGCAATGGCCTGACGCAGGAAATGGCCAATGGTGGCCGAGGATACTCTAGAACCAAACGTTCCCGGCTGGAACGAAACAAACAACGCCTCAGACTTACGGACCCCCTCGGTCCGCCGGATGTAGATCCGCAGAGCACAGCGCATGTCCAACTGATGCCAGAGCCTCTCCCTATCATTGGACGGGCCCGCGCAAAAGTCGGGCAGGACGATCTCCTGAGCCCTATGAAAGGGAGTGTGCACCTTCGGGATGAAAGTAGGACCAAGGTGAAGCACCACCATGTCCTGGAGAAAACGACAAAGGTCATCCCTGGAAGACAGGGTGCCCAACCCCGAAATACGTCGGGCGGAGGTAACCGCCACCAGGAAAGCCACTTTCAAAGACAAGAAACGCAGATGAACAGACTGAAGAGGTTCGAATGGGGCCCCCGTCAAGGCCCCGAGCACCAGGGGAAGATCCCACGTGGGAAACCTGTGAATGGGGGGGAGGCCTGAGATTAGCCACCCCCTTCAGAAAATGCGTGCAGGGGAACCTGAGAGAGGGAAGAAGACCCCACACACCCCAGGACCGAGGACAAAGCCGCCACCTGGCGGTGCAACGTATTCTGTGAAAGCCCGTCGTCAAGGCCCTCCTGTAGGAAATCCAAGACGTTAGGAATAGTGGCCCTGTCGGGAGAAATGCCAAGAGAACACCACCGGACAAAGGCCGCCCAGGTGGAATTGTAGATGCGGGTCATCGAAGAACGCCGAGACTCCTCGAGGTACGAATGACCCCAGCGGACAGGTTAGCCCCCGCCAGCAGCCACCGTTCAAGAGCCAGGCGATCAGATGGATCCACTGGTGCTCTGGGTGAAGCAGGACCCCTGCTGCAAGACCACCTCCTACCGCGGGATCCTCCGCGGAGGGGCCACTAACAGCTGGACTAGGTCCGCGAACCAAGGGCTCCTGGGCCAATAAGGGGCCACCACAAGGACCAGAGCCTTCTCCGCTACCACCTTCCAGATGGTCCCCGGAACGCGGGGGACGGGAGAAAATGCATACAGAAGGCCCGCGGGCCACCTGCTCCTGAGGGCGCCCGTGCCCCCCGCAGACCTGGACAGGAAATGGGTGAAAAACTGGGGAAGTTGCGAGTTCGCGGGCAAGCTGAACAGATCCACCAGAGGAGTGCCGAACCACTGACAGATCCTCCGAAATAACGACGGATGGAGTTGCCACTCGCCCTTGACCAGTCGCCCGACTCAGCCAATCTGCCTGGACGTTGGAGAGCCCGGAGATGTGTTCTGACACCAAGGACAACAGGTGCCTCTCCACCCAGGCGCCTAGTCTCAGAGCCTCCAGCCAGAGAGCCTGAGAGTGGGTGTTCCCCCCTGACGATAGATGTGGGGCTTGGTGGCCACATTGTCCATCAGGAGGACTACGTGATGCCCCACCACCGAGGCCTGAAAGTGTTGCAGAGCCAGGTGGGTCGCCTTCAGCTCCAACCATTTGATGTTGTGGCGGAGATCCAAAATCGACCACCTGCCCTGAGCCATCCAGGAGCCCACCTGAACAGACTCGCGTCTGTGGTGACGCTCACCCTGTCTGGCTCCCAGAAGCAGCAGCCTCGCTGAATGGTCAGGGTTAGCCACCACCCCAGCGAGACCCGGATCACCAACGGGAGGCGGAGGAACCGAAGAGAATTGCTCAATCGCCCCCTCTGTAAAGGAGTGAGTTCCCACATGAGAGGCCGAAGAAGTCTGGCCCATGGGACTATTCCGATGCAAGAAACCATCTTGCCCAATAACTGAGATTGAAACTAACCAACCTCCACGAACGCCTCCTGCCAGTTGACGCAGGCTGCTCTGGCGCTCCCGGAACAGATGCAACCCCCCCCCCCCGACACGGAGACTATGACTGTCCCCAGGTGAAGAATGCGAGTGGAAGGGAAAAGGTGGCTCTTGGAGAAGTTCACCGAGAAACCTAGGCTCTGAAGACTCCGGATGGGGAGCTGAAGATCCGAAATGGCCTGAGGAAGAGACCCCGCCTGAACCAAGATATTGTCTAAATAACATTGGAGTCTCACTGGGATGGAGTGCAGATGAGCCGCCAGGGCCGCCAGAACCCTCGTGACGGCCCGGGGAGCCGAGGCCAGCCCGAAGGGAAAAGCCCTGTATTGGTAGTGACGGTCCCCGTGGGAGAACCTCAGGAACCTGCGATGACCGGCCAGAATTGGATGTGAAGATAGGCCTCCATGAGAACCACGGAGGCCAAGAAGTCCCCCTTTCCAATGCCCTGAAGGATAGATTTGAGGGAAGACATTTCGCATCGCCTGTGCACCAGAAAACGGTTCAGACGTTTGCGGTCCAGAATTGCCCTCCAGCCACCCATTCGGAACCACGAACAGGTTGGAGAAGTGGCCCAGGCCGCATTCCTCCAGAGGAACTGTGTCCACCGCCTGAATGTCAAGAAGGTGGGCGATGGCCTGATCCATCAGGCGGCGGCGCTCCAGGCTCCGGGACGGAGGGAATGACCTGAAGAGATTCGGAGGGGTGGAGAGAAATTCTAACCTGAGACCGTGACGAACCGTGGCTCGGACCCAAGCATCCAACGTGATCTCGTCCCATTGATCCACATAGAGGGAAAGACTGTTGCATTGTTTTTAATCTGTTTTTTGTATTTGTTTTTCTCTTTGTTTGTTGTTGTATTCCCCCCCCCCCACCTTGTTTATTAGCCACCCTGAGTCCCTCGGGAATAGGGCGGCATACAAGTGTAATAAACATTGAACAACATTGAACAGATGGCTGCCAATGGGACAACTTGGGTTCGAGTCACTTCCCTCTGCGGTAGGGACAGCCTCCTCCTCCACGAAAGGGCCGCCTGGACTGGTGCTGGAAGCAGTTTCTGTCCTGAAAGGACGACCTGGGAAATTGCCTGTCAGATTGGAAAGAAGAGAAATGCTGGTTATACTCATAATCTGAAGCCTTATACTGTTGCACATGACAAGAATGAGACATGGACTCGGGCTTCTTAGCGTTAAATGGAAGAACTTTCCCTTGTCTTTATTCTCAGAATGGGGTCAAGGGCCTCCCAAAAAAGATTAGGCCCCTCGAATGGAGCGGCTGCCAAGTTCCACTTGGCCCTGTTGTCCATCTGCCAGTGACGCACCCACAGGAGCCTGTGAGAAGTGACAGAAATGGCCAGAGCACTGGAATCCGACCGAACACTGCTAAGAGCCTTTATTAGGACTTATCTTGTGGCGATACAGGCGGCAAAATGTGTGCATTTTTCCGCTCT